AGATTAGAGCGGGCTCATCACAGAGCTGAGGCGAAGGCAGGAGATCTGATGCAGGGCGGGTTGTGGCATCCTCTGGCAGAAGGGCAGCACTTGCCTCAGTGAGAGCAGTGGGGTGGGGTTTGGGTGCTTAATTGTGTGTGCAGCAGGCTGCTGAGTTTTGGCCTGATGCACAGAGATTGTCTTGCAGATGAGATGATGTAAGGGTTAATGGAGAAAAGATGATTGAAGAGGAGTGTGGGAATTGTGGCACAGAGCTGTCGCCACAACATGCTTTGGAGAAAGAGGGCAGAAAATGCAGTCCACAAATTCACTATTTATTTATTTTTCCCCAAAATGAGGTAAGAGCTCTGGCTTGCTGGCAAAGCAGCACAGCATATTTCATTAGTCCTAGCTGCTTGCTTCCTCTCACTAGTGAGGTTCTGGCAGAGAATTGCAGGTTTGTGTCTGCTACAAAAAAAAAAAAAATTAAAAATACAATTAGAATTACAACAACAATAATTAAAAAACCCTAAATAATTATCCCAGCTTCAATGCAACCCAATACATCATTGATAATGCTGTAAAATCTCCATGTTAAAGCAATCATTTAAACAGCAGCTTCACCAGGCCCTGAAGGGCTTCCTTCTTGCCTTTTCATCACTCTAGGCTCTAAATATCATCCATCCCTTCCCAAAGGGATGAAATACCCCCGCTCCATCTCCCAGCCTAGGCCGTAGGTGCTGTGCTGCTTTCTCTGGGGCAGAACGGGAAGCCCATCGCTGAGATCCCAGCTCTGGTGCACCCTCCTGCTCAGCCCGCGCGGGCCCAGCCTGGCAGCGGCTGCCGGCAGCCCGGGGAAGCCGTGCTGGGCCTTTCCGGGGAGAGAGGGCGGAAAGCTTAGGGCCCAGAGCTGCTGGAGTGACAGGCACAACATAAACTGCAATGAGCATTACAGCAACACGCTGGGAAATCAATGCCTCCACCGGAGGAGCAGCGGGAGTCACTGGGAATCAAAGCACCGAGGCTGGAGTGAGGCAGGACGGGCGGTGAAATCTCCAGGCTTGCCTCGCAGGAATAGGAGATGTGGATGCCTAAGCCTCACTCTCCTTTTCATCACTCGCTGTCTCCCCCATCAATAGGAACAAGCCCAATACTTTGAAGAAGGGGGGGAAAAATACTTCTCTCTCCAGATGGAGTGTTCCTTGTAGCTTACAAAGGCGGGTTTTTAGGAGCGCTGCTTTGGCCCAGCGCTGCGTGTTAGACTGGCAGGTGATGGAGGAGGGAGGACAAGCAGCAGGACTTGCTCCTTCCCTTCCCCTGCCTGCATGCTGCCAGATGTCCCAGCCCGTCACGAAATCCAGGGACCAGGAATGATGGTGGGCAGCCCTCTATCCCATCCAAGGCAATGGTTCCTGCTGAAGGTTCAAAATCATTCTCCTGCAGAAAAGCATCACCCCATCCCCTCTCTCCTATAGCACAGCTCAGCTCCATTGTCTGCATTTACATGTGGGGAGAATGAGACTGGGGGAGGAGTGCAAGGATGACCTGGGTTTCTTTCTCCACATCCAACTGTTGCTCAAAAACTTCAGGTGCCAAACTTGGCTGTGTTTGTTTACAAGGAGGACTAATGGGGCATGGCAGCAAGATCTTTTGTCCTTCTGTGTCTGTGGTTTGAAGTGGTGCAAGATCAACAGTTCACAGGTTCTTACGTGATCATGCAAGGCATGCCCATCACCATTCACTGATCTTCTCATTTACCACATCAGAGATGTCAAGAAATCAAACCTGCAACCATATGCATGGATCGCAAATCATTTATTAGTTTTCACTGAGGCTGATGGTAATGCTTCCAATAAGTCCAATGAAAAGCGTTCAACTGTCTCTGTGAACTTGATTATTGATTATTAGTGAGCAATAAGAGCCCATTGATATCTGGCTGATGCCATGCTCCTATTGCTTTGCAGTTAAAATGTCAGTTAACATGCCATTTAATATTCTATTAGTATTGAATTAGCACTTATTACACTGTGAAAATCATCACCATAAATTCTTATTAAAGCGTGATCCATTCAGCTGGGTGGCATCTCTGGCAGACTAAAAGGGTGTGTGTGTGTGCAGACAGACATACTGAGATGCGTCATCCACATGAATACATGTTCAGAGCATGCCAGGACTTGGAATTTCTACATTTGTACATTGATTTTCCCTGACAGCTTGAGAGGAACAGGTATGGTGAACAGAGGGCTCAAATCCATTTCACTTACTCCTCCCATTTTCCTATTTTCGTTGTCCTCTTTCCTTTCCTTATTTTGGTAGCACCTGCTAACTTTTTTCAGGGGCAGTTGCAAGGTTGCCTTCCTGTAGCTATTGACCACTGTCCCAGGGCTCACCTGGATCCTGTAAGATCGGTTATGACACATTTTCTCTTCCAGAGAGAGGAGGGAGGGTCTCTGGTTGAAGCCTACCCACAGGAGCAAAAGGACAAGGCTTTGTTCAGACCACACCACTGAACTGTTAATGACAAGACACCACAAAAGGGCATATTGGCTACCCCAGAGAGTTATAATGATTAGGGGAGGGCAGAGCTGCTGAGTGCTCACTGTAGCCTAGTGGGGATGGGAAAGCAGCCTGATGTGGTGCCATGAGTCTTCTGGAGTCCAGCAGCATTGAAGGGGAATTTTCAGAAATGACTGAGAAACTTCAGCTCCCACTGACTTCAGCTTCCACTGTTAATCTGCTTAGCTTTTCACTACCAAAATACCTGACTCCTAATTCTTGGTGCTGTTACAACTCTTGCATTTGCAAGAGGGCTCTTGACCCTAAGACAGCCAGCTCCGAAGGCAGTCTGGGTGTTCCTACAGGGCCACTGCTCCCAGCCTTGGAGCACACTGCACTCCTTGGGTCTTGGCTTTCACCTTCCATGACTGGTGATTACTGCCTGGGATGGCCAATGGAACTGGAGCAATGCCCTATCGTAGTGGTGCTGGTTTCTACCTGTAAGTGACTGCTTATGGGTTCCCCTGCATCCTGTTTTTTTGACAAAGAGTAGCTTTTTGAAAACAACTCAGATCAAACCTGAGAGTTCACCTCGGGGACAAGTGCCTGCCTGGCCAGGAGGGTGGGCTCTGGCCTGAGGGCCAAATTCTCACTACCCTTCCTTGGCTGGACATCATCAGTAAAGGACAGGATCTGTGGACTGCTCTCTAAAGCAAATGTTTGTCAGATCAGACAGAGCTGCTTACAGCTTGGCCAGCGGCATGGCATGGCTCCCATGGATGCCCACACAGCTTGGCTTTCCTCCTGCCCACAAGTAACCCCAGAACAATTTGGACAACACCCATGTGCTTGTCAAAAGGGAGTGGGTGTGAGGTGCCAGCCATAATGGTGGGGTCACATCACAAGGCAAAGCAGCTGCAGCAGCCTTGAATGAAATGCATTCAAATAGAGGAACTTGGAAAATGTCTGACCCATGCTAAAAGGCTGTATGAAAGCCTACTGTCAAATACTTGTCTTATCTTGAAGCAATAATCTTTATCCTCTCTCTTTTTTCCTTCAAATATAACATATGCATGAATAGTGGTGAATAAGACACAATCCTGTGCAATGTGATCTAGGAAGACCCTGCTCAAGCAGGTTGGTTTAACCATACAACCTCACTGTGGTCCCTTCCAATTTTACCTATTCTGTGATTCTGTAATAGCAATGGCAAGAGGTGCTGAGTTATTTGGATGCTAGGACACTGTGAGCAGAGCTCTGAGATGTCAAGGAGCAATAGCTCTGGAAACTGAGCTTCTCTGTTTACCTGCAGAGCTATTGTGATGTGAGAGGCAGCAGGGCAAACCTGCTCTCAGCCTGTCTGAGCCCAGCCCTGGGGATGCAGCTGCCAGGGTGAAAGAGGAGTTAGGCCTGCCTGTCTTCTTCAGCCCTGGTCCTCCTGAATGAGATACAGCTGAGAGAGAGCAGGATGCATCTCCTCAGCAGCAGCTCCTCGTCTTTTCTGTGCAAATCTCCTTCTGGTGGTGGGAAGTGGTAAAGAGCAGATGCCTTTGCCAAAAATGCATTTGTCTTCACAGCACCTACTCTGCTCTCCATCAAGAATCAAAATACTTGTCAAGTTACAGTTGCAACGTGGTTAGTTTGTCCTCTGACTTGGGAAGGCTGGCAGTCAGGACCCTGGCAGTTTGTGGTCCTCCTGCTGCTCCTCTGCTTGCCACCCTTAGCTGTCATTCCTCCTCTCCTGTCCACCTGAGATGTTCACAGGACATGCTGTGTGTGTCACAGGGATGACAGTGACACTCCCACAGCCTCTCATTTTCAGCCTGAAATCTGCACTTGCCTGCAAAACAAGCAGATGTGCATCAGCAAGTGTGTGTGTGTATGTGTTAGGAGAGTGATGTTTGAACAATGAAATAACTCCACAAAATTTTTTTTGTCAGAAGGATGTAGATAGGAGATACACTAGTTTCCTCCCCCTGTGCCACTGAAATTGAGGGATGGAGGAGCTGTGCCCTGAGCTGACAAAGCTGGAGACCTGAACCTTTGCTCTCCAGGCTGGAAAGGGTCTGGAAGTTTATCTATTGTATACTCAACTTTTTGAAGGCTGGAAAGGGTCTGTGAGTTTATCTATTGTATTCTCAACTTTTTGAAGGTGAAGGAGAAGCTTGGGAAGAGCTACTTCCAACCTTTCTCACTGGCAGTGTTGGAAGGGATTTGGTAATCAAAATCTTTTGTGGCCTTCCAAATTAATTTTTGGGAGGCCACAGGCAAAAGGAAAAGAGAACAAGAGACATGTCTGCCCCAAATCCCATGGGTTTATGAAACAAAGATTCCTGAAACTCTTCAACAGAGTTAAATTGTTAAGTACTTGTCCATGGGACAATAATGATGAGAAGATTCTGTGGTTCACTGGCAAGGCAGGAGTGTGGTGGGAAATTTCTCAGCAAAGCATTAAAGAGAAGGAACAAAAGGGAGATGACAGAGAGGGTTGTTAATCTCCCCTTTACCTGTCTCATCCTCTGCAGGTGTTATGTAGAAGACAGAAGCTCTAAGGTGGCCTGGTTAAATCGTTCCGGCATCATTTTTGCTGGAGAGGACAAGTGGTCCCTGGACCCTCGAGTAGAGCTGGAGAAGAGAAACCCCCTTGAATACAGCCTGAGGATCCAGAAAGTGGATGTCTACGATGAGGGGTCCTATACATGTTCAGTGCAGACACAGCATCATCCCAAGACTTCCCAGGTTTACTTGATCGTGCAAGGTAAGCAACATGCCTGATCAGAGAGCAAAGTGCAAAAGACCCAGTGATGCTGAAGTGATGGGCGCTTCACCTGGGAGGAGACAGGGGGATGAGTCAGGGATTTTGGGGTTTGATGGACATACAGGTACTGATGGGGAAGCTGCGATGAACCTAACGGATCCAAAGAGGGGATATGGAAGGACGAACCATTATGAGGGGATATACAGTGCAAACACAACTCCACATAGTGAGTGGAAGGAGCTGTATTTTTCTAAGAGAAACTTGAGAGTCAGCAGCCTATGTGTCCCTTATGTTGACACAGGAGCCAGCTGGACTCTTCCCTTCCACTGTGGCGTAGCATGGTTTTACTCTGCTGTCATTTTGTCCTTTTAAAAGTGGTGACAGAGCAGGGGACACCAGTGACACCAAGCCATATTCTAATATAATACAAACCTGGCTCCTGGCTCTGGATGTTTGGCACTGATGGGAAAGCATTTGTTTATAATGACACTTCTCAGAACATTGTGCCTTATCTCTGCCCAGAGAGCCCTCTGGTTTCTTTGCCTCCTCCTTCTGCAGGTTTCCTTTCTTTTTTCTTGTGTCAACAAGCTACTGTGCTGTGTTTTTTGGCCTTCCATAGTCAACTCTTTGCCAGGCTAAGGAATTAATTTTCCTGTGAGTTTTTCCATGCTGGGTCCTTGGTTTGCAGGGTGCATCATCACTAGGCATGTGTGAAACCTGGCACCTGAGGGACCTGCCACGTACCTTATGTTGCCCTTTCCTTTTTTAGCTACCCTTCTCCTGTGTGTGTTATAAGGAACAGGAAACTCGGCAAACCACTATTGTGTTATCTGTCTGCCTGCACTTATGGCATGACAGAGAGTAAACAATTAAAGAGTTCACCAGTTCTTGGTAGAGGTCATTAGTGAGTTTACTCTTGTTCTATCCTGTCCAGACCAGAACACCAAACAAGTGAGTTTACCCAGTTTTGTTTAGTTTTGCTTTAAATCTTCATGCCATTTTGTCTATCTGCCGATTTATCTAAAATATTTATAGAGCAGCTTAGGTGATGGATATGTATGAATGTGTTTGATACATATTACAGATATGTTCAACTTCTATATTATCTTTCAGACAGGAATTTGTTGTTTCTCCTGATTTGTCTAATAACCCATCAGGCTGCAGATTTCATTTCCCATAGCAAGTTTTTGAATCACTGATTATGAGTGCATGCAGGAAGAGACTTTTCCTCTTGCTGGCACTACTTGGCAAACTGGGGGGCTAAGTAGCATCCTAAGTGTTTATCTGCAAGGTGAAGAAGTCTGGATGAGTGGTTAGAGGTGATGCTTTACACACAGGTGTAGTGAGCCAGAAGGCTCCTGGTTGGTTTTCTTGCCCAGAATCCTCCCCCAGCAGCACAAAAAGTGGCCCACACCCACACACAGAGCAGCTCTCCTGGCTTGGCTGAGTGCTTGCTGCACAAAATGCATTCCCCAGCCCTGGAGGTGTACCCTGCCTTGCTGCTTGCTACAGCAGAGCTGAGCCAGCCCTCTGTAGGTGGTTTATTGCTGGTGAAATCTCACAGCACACAATTTCCATTTACCTGTCAAGAAAAATATAGGGATAAATGAATTCTAGAGCCGTGCATATGTATTATTAATTTTATTTGTGCCTATTAGATATGGGCCTAAGCAGCAAAATTGAGTTCTCTAGCTTTGCTTTCACTTAAATACGTGGGTATCTGGCTCTGAACTACTGCCACCTTTCTGAGAATGAGGAAATTTAGGTTTTGACACTCCTAAACTCTAAATGCCTGTAAATAAGGTATCCGTGGGTAATCTTTGTTCTAACACCTGCCACAGATTTAATAAAAGACCCATTGTAATATTGTGCTTACTATATAATCCTGTAATTAGGTAAAACTCATAGCTTTAATTTTTTTAAACTAAATTTAATCTGGAAAAAAAACGTGAAGGAAAATATAAATGCAAAATCCTTTCCAATTAGGAAGAGTTTGTCTCATTTTAAACATGTTTTAAAATAATCTTCACTAGTAAAGCTAATTCAGTACAAAATAATGTATGTTAGAAAATAATCCCTATAGTCTCTGAGTATTATTTTCTTATATTGATTGCTAAGATAGATTTTAATATTTTTTTATATTGATTTTTCCAGGATTTGCAGGTTGTCTGCCTGAAAAATAGCCTGCTACTGGTACAAATTAAAGGAGTTTGGATATTGAGTCATGCTAAACTATTTAGTTTTATTTATTTTATGTAGTTTATTTACTTCTCTTTTTTTTTTTTTTTTTTTTTTTTTTTTTTTTTTTTTTTGTGTTCATACTTTTCAAAACATAGGCTCTTTGAAGCTCTGGGTATCCCAAATGTTAAAATAAATAAATAAAAGAAAATACAGCTCCTGAAACATTAAATGATAGAGTGGTCAACTGGTCTGCCTGGTAATCTGGGAGGAGAATTTCTGGAATGATGGTCAGTGATCTCCTTTGAACAAGTTCAGGGAAATAAAAACAAACCAGGATCAGTGACTCGTTGCTAGCTTTGTGCACATGGTAGATGCCTGGATTTGCCAGTGAAAGATACTGCAATGTCAGCTGCTCCTGCCCTGGAGACAATGGCTGGTTTAGGGCCATGTCCAGGCTTCCTATTCCTCTCACTCAGTGTTGTCACGGATATTTCTGTGTCCCACTGCCAAAGACAAATCCTTAATCTGTCTCTGTCCAGCTCAGTTGCTAGCAGGTGCTCTCTCCACTGGGGTGAATGCAACAAGAGACTGCCCTGAACCACCACCTCACTCAAAGCATTTTGAGCTGCTTCATTTGGGTATAGTGGCCAGTTGTAAAGCTTTCTGTTTATTACTCCAGTTATTTCTTTTGGCATCTGATCAAAAGAGTAAAAACTTGAAAGGACCTGCAAGAGATGGTCTGGTACTTCCCCTTGCAGTGAGACAAGATCAGCTCTACAGTGGCTACCCCATACATGTATTTTTTGAAGATGCACCTGCATAGCTGGTGCATGTCCATTATTTCACTCTCCTTGCATTTGGAAAGCTTTTATTAACATATGATCCAAATTGATTTTGCTGCCAATTATTTCTGGGCCTTCCAGGACACACAGTGGTTATTTCTCCTCTTTCTCAAAACTATCTTTTATCTGCCTGAAACCCCTCAATTTCTGTGTCTCAGAGATCTCTAGTGCAACTTAATAGGCTCACTGCTTTCCGGAGGTCATATTTTTTCAACACCTGCGGCATATATATTTCACTACTGTTTGATTTGTCTACATGTTTTCTTTAAATGTACTGTCCAAAACCAAAACAAGAGTTCCAGATCAGGATTCAGTCATGCAGATACAAGTACCAGCCCTGTTTTGCATATCACACTTCACTTACCTAACCCCAGAATGAAATGAGATTTGCCTTTTTTATATGAGTGCCTCACTGCTTTCACTAATTTGTCTTTCTGCCTTTCTGATCTTCTCTTACTGGTCTGCAGCTCATTCTTCACTTTTGTATTTGAACATTAATTGGTTTTCCCCCCCTCCCTGAGAATACTGCTTTGTGCTCACTGCTGTTGGATGCCATCTGGTTGGTCTCTCCATGGAGACCACTTCAGTTTACTTACGATCCTGGGCTCCAAAACACTTACAACCGCCCCCAGTGTAGTGTCATTGACAAAAGTCAGGTGCCTTGTTTCTGTTCCATCATGAAGGTGTTAATTAAAGTATTGAAGAGATCAGGACACAAAAGCAGACTATGGCAGCAGCCCACTAAACCCTCCGTCCTTGGTGGAGAGGGATCTGTTGATTGCAGCTCTTTGAAGCATCCTGATGGAGATTTAACATCCACCGTATTCTCTTAGCTTGCTGAAGACTGTCAGGTCTTCTGAAGTCAAGATATATCACATAATCACACATATTGCTTCTGCATTATCTGTTATGCCAGCTATCCTACAAAAAAGGGGAAATGAGGCCTGGATGGCATGATATGTGTTTGCCAAAAGTACATTGCTTTTTTTTCCCTTTACTCCATTATTATTCTCTCGGTGCTCATAAATGGGATGTTTAATCATTTGTTCCAGTAGCTGAGTGACTTGTTCCAGGAGAATTGGGTCGTAACAGGGACACAGTGGCTGCTCCTTTCCCAGCATTACCTTGGGTTCTTGTTCTTTTAGCACTCTATCCTCAAGCCTTTCTCAGGCATTAGATAACAGTGGAGAAATTCCTATGGTTCTTATTTATCTCATCAGGATGACAGGCACAAGGGCACAGAGATCTTGGCATGCATGGGGTTTAAAAAATTCTGCAATCAAGACCTAGGCCTATACAAGTCAATCTGGAGGAGTGATTCGACTAGGAGGAAGCAAATTGTTGCTGTCTGTATAGGCATCATTGTGAATGGCAGTAGTTGTAACTTTTCAGTGAAACAAAAACATTCCATTGTTTTTGAATTTGATTAAAATTTAATCAGGAAGGTTTTACAGGTCTGAGGTGCCTTTTTCTGGTCAAAATTATGGAGACAAAGAGGTATAGCATTACCACAGCCCATATAAAACCTAACCATACTCAGCTGAGTTATGAAGAGCTCCACATTCACATTTTCACTCACAGCTTGGGATTCCTGCAGACTTAATAACGTTTCTTGTGATCCCCAGTTATTGATTGTAAAGATTGTGGGCTCTCCCTTGGTTTAGTGTTCATGTCATGAAAAAAAAAATACTAAGGGCTTTGTCAGTTTGGCAAAACTAAAACAAATTTGGAAATGTCAGCAGCAAATGTTCACAAAGAGGAGTGCTTGTTTACTGGCCAGCCCTAATCACAAACCCAAAGTCAAGTGCGTAGTAGCTGAGGCCAAATCCTACAGTTTTCTTTCTAACTGATAGGTATCAGTGTGTGAAAAGAAGTACAGAATGTACCCTTTCTCCATTATGAATTACCTTTGTGGTGCTCCTTGCTTGCAAAGATTTAGACTCACTGGTCATTGTTTCAACATGATATAAAGATGTA